CCCCCCCCCAAACGCATGACGATTCATATCATCTGGATTACACATAGCTTCTCTGCGATTTACGCTCTGTATATCTTAAGCGAAGCTTGGACCCCCCCCCCCCAATACATTTTGCTGGATCCGCCACTGCCACTAACGTACCTCTTCAATTCGAACGATTCTGCGTCCATCACAATACACATATAACCTCTATGACATATGTGACATTGTTTTGTGTTACGGTAGCATTAATAAGAGCGTATCGAGTTCTACATGTACATTCGCACTTGAATATACAATACTACAATCAATCAACACATTACCTTCAGCTCCATCTTTCCTCTCTCTTCGTACGTATATCCACCCAGTATATTTAAAGCACATACCACCTCATTACTGATGTGTATTCGAAGCGCTAACAAAAATCAAGCATGTAATATGGAATTACAAAATTAATTGTATCACTTCACGCATTGGTCGGTGAAATGACATGTGTAAACAATGTTGAGTGGATTATTAGATATGCTTGACATGAACTAATGGTCATTTGCGAGATTCTGTATCACGTGGTATTTTTTCCGAATACGTCGTAAATAAATACAGATTGTTTGCAGGTGGACATTCGGCATATAGTACCATATACTTTTGGAAATATGCAATCGCTTTAAACAAATTTGGCTACAACATGAGCCGTTGATGATGCGCGACTTGCATAAACTTCGAAACATACCACGCGCGCTTGGAACCCGCAAATTGTCCATTACAAAACGACTGACCAACAAATTCACAAAGACAGAGACTGCAGACAACCGAGAAGCACACCAATGGTCGAATGATCAAATCAAGACATGCAGCTAAAAGGTGATGTCGTGTGTTTCAAAAGGAGAGACACGTCCTGTTTCATGTCAATAATAATATTGATAGTTTATGTTAGAGGTGATATTGAAATTTCTTAGACCATCTTTGTAACAGAGTTATCGGGTTTAGATGCAAGTTTATCGCAGACATTAACAATGTTAAATGTATTACCCAGCATGATAACACCCTGAAAAACACACCCCAAACAACAACAAATATTATATTATATGGGCAATGTGATATGTTCATGAACACACAGAAACAAATCACATAAAGTAGAGAGTTACCCCGAAAATATAACAAAATGTAAGACACTTTGTGTCTCTATGGAGTTAAGCTCAATCATGAACAAAAGGCCGATATTAACAGCTATATAAACCTAAAATTCAGTTTTCAAATAGACATTATGTATTGAATTACAGAATTGTGAATGAAAGTACTTTTCATTTATGAGTTATGTTCAAGTTGAAAGGTAGATGGAAGGCGATTTTAAATTTGCTCACCGTTTTTGAGTTTGTATGCAATTAACTGAAAGTACTTCAAGTTATGATGCCCTGCTTCATTTTACAGTTTGCGATATCTATATACAATGGATAATTTCTCTCAGACAAACTAGTATGGACCTGAGAGAGGTCAACTACAGCAAATCGTCTCAATTAGTTAGAATACCCAGCAATGGTTTACATTTTTTCAGATACCAAACATTGTCTATTAAGCTAGAAGGTGATATATAAGGGTTTCATTTGTAATTTATACCTTTTGTATATATCTGTTTCATTATTGTACATACATGTGTTGCGTGGCTGTATTAAAATTTCTTTTCTGTTCCAGGATAAATAAACATGCGTGGTTGATTGATTCATTGACACGCGACAACTTTTGAATACCGGAATTCTTTAAAGTGGCTTTATATCTCAAATACGATAGAACTCTATAATAGTAATCTCACCTTGTCCACTCGATTCAAATCTTGATGCAGTGTTGACAGTGTCACCAAACAAACAGTATCGCGGCATTGCCAAACCGACAACTCCTGCAACACATGGACCTAATAAAACGGAAAGGAGATCGCTATAAAATAAGCGTATATCAAATACAATTACATGGACACACACATGTAAATCTAAATTTGATATATTTAATTATTAAAACTACTTTCCTGTGTGTATACCAATTCTAAGTTTCAGTTTTTCGTCCGGCATGTGTGGAATGGTAAACGAATTTACATGTTTCAATAACTCCAAAGACATAGTGGCTATTTCACTGGCATGCCTTGTTCCATTGCGTGTTGGTAAACCACTGACAACCATATAAGCATCACCGATAGTCTCCACCTAACAAAATAAACACAATATACAATACGTCACATATTTATATATCCTATAGCATAGTTCCATTCACTCCCGCCATCATGGTTACGGCTACAAATACAAACATATGGTTGTATAGATCAGAGGAACATTGGACCCGATAACGGGAGGGAATAGAATACTATTTAAGGGGACAAAACAAGTCTCCTGGCTCTCTTTCGCTCTCGGTCATTTGTTGGATTATGATATTTATCAAGTCTTACCTTATACACGTCGTAATGTTCGATTATACCATCAAAAAGTATATATAGTGAATTCAACAGATTGACAACCTGATGGTATAAGAACAGAGCAAGATGCATGATTTATCGTCTAATATTATATTGATACAGTTTGGTTTTCAGTTTGTGAGCAAAGCATCGTTAATGATCTCGGCGATTGTATGTTTGGACATACATTGTGGAACTTTTCTGTATCATGAGATTTATTGGTATAGTAAAACATTGAAATTTGCTTTGATGCATTTCTTGAATTCAGTTCACTGTACAGGACAGGGTTTGTGGCGACTTTTTTATGCAAATTATCATACACCTACCTGCATTGGGTCACTGACAGCAGATATCGCTGTGAAGCCAACAATATCAGAAAAGAATATGGTAACTGCTTCAAATGCCTCTGCGTCTACTGGTGAACCATTCTTCAATTTCTCAGCAACAGATCTAGGTAAATTGTAAAGTATAAAATATATCATATTCTCCCATAACATCTTTTATTCAAGAGACCAGAATATAAATCTAAACCTCAACCAATGTTCCCCAACTCTCGCAACTATTGGTGTAAAATGGCTTTCGTCTCCCCTTCAAGCTGTATAGTTCGCCCTAGATAGGATTATAAACTCGGTTCTACTGATCATGAGGCCCATACAACAACAAATACGCTACCCATGCATGTAACACGTATAAAAACAATCACCTTGGCATCATCCGGTACAGTAGCTGTTCAGTTCTTCTCTTCTCATCTGACAATTTCGATGTGCGATCGGTAACAATATCCTCCAAGTTGTGAGCATATGTTTCAAGCATGGCAACCATGTTATCCATAATACTCGCATTTCTAGTAGCAGATAATAACACAGTGAAAATCTAGGATCATTATTCGAGACTTGGCTTACAAGAATTGACAGGGAACATAACAACGAATGTGCGGTTATGGTGTAAAAATAGCTTGAAAATAGATCTTGACTCAATTCGTTCTTTTATCATTCAGTGAATCTCCAGTCTGACATACCTTGAACGATTTGATTGAACCTTGCTACATAGTAGACATTTCGTACATTTACTACACTCGTACCTTAAATATGTTAGTGTATTAAGCTGACTCTCAGGCATGTTTGAGCTCTTATAAAAAATGGTGTCCTTACTTGTTCGGACTTGCATCCTTAATGACCTTCTTTATGTAAGTTAGATCTGGCCGCTTTTCCGGCAATTGTTGCCAACACTGGATCATCAACTCACGTATTCCATTTGGACAAGATATCGTGTCGGTCTCTGGGCGATATGGCTCCACATTGCAAGAATCTTTTACACGATCAATAATATCTGTAGAAAGAAAAGACACATTTCCAGAACGAGTATTTCAAAATAAAGACGCCATGGTTTAAATAAACTTACACTGAAAGCATAATAAAAACGTCTAATTAGTTTGCAAACCTTCTGCAGCCAGATCAGTATACCCATACGGTCCATCCCTGTACACTATCTCCCGTAATACAATTCCAAAACTGTATATATCACCCTTCTGCGACATAGTTTCTCGACAGGAGGAAGTATTACTACCCACTAGCAGTTCAGGTGCTGTCCATAGCAGCCCTGCAAAACATGAACACGTTGAAAACAATTTGTTTGTAGTGTCAGATCACTTGCACAAATTAGGATTATTTCAAGTACGATTAGTAACTGTTCATCTAAATGTTTCATATCTTAACCATATCTGTTTATTGGCTCTTCACCTTGATGAATTGCTACTTCCGTTCTCTTCTCTCTCTGTCTCCTGTAATTCTTGAACTCCCATAAACCATAATCTGCAAGTTTGACGACCCAGCGTCCATCCACCAAACAATTCGACGATTTCAAATTACCGTGTACTTTCAAAGGACTCTTGTGTAACACCTGGAGACCCTGTGAAAAAAATCAGTTTTCTACGTTTGATGTGAAGACTGCTTAGCATAATATATATCCTAATACCCTGGGAATGCATTTTATTGTAACTGTGTGTCATTAGGATTCCATACCTAGTAGAGAGACGTTTTGGTAAATGGTCTTATTTATGCAAAAAATTTAATCAGTTTCGCCCTCTATGGCCAAATCCTTCTGTAACATTAGAAGTGCCGTTAACAACTTTGATATTGCTTTGACCTATGATAAATACTAATACTGTATTCAAAGAATTCATATAATCTGAATGTCGAACCACAACACGGTGAAACTGATTTGACAAAAAAAGTATGTGAACGTGATTGCATACCTCCATCTACGTCATTTTTACACCACAGAAGCAGTGGATCGCGAGAGGGCGCGACTTACTGTAAAGGTATGTAGATGAATTAAAGTTCTCCTACTGTACTTGTCAAACCACGCATTTCAGGTTGGTGTGGGACAAATACGATGTTCATACTCTGTCATAGGTTATTATATGTATTTACGAATTTCAACATTGCGTAATATTGATTGGTATTGGATTGAGAAATGCGATTTGCGCAAAAATAATTAACTTGTGCTCACCGTCAATATGTCACTGGCAATTGACATTTTAAATAACCAATCCAGGCTGATTTCGTCGTTTTCCAAAATGTCCTGATAATAAAACAAAATAAGTTACCATATTTCAACATTTAATAGTCAGGACATGACATCGAAATTGTATTATAAACACGTGATGAGTAGCAACTGACCTGTAGACTTCCCTTCTGACAGTACTGTTCCACGATACAGATGTTTGGGGGATCCACACAGACACCAACGAACTGATTAAGATTGTCATGGCGAATGTCACGCATCTATAATATCGATAACAGAAAATAATATAAACTGGTAACTGACTACCCACACTGCTATATTTATTGTTCATTGTCCGTTGTTCGTACATCTCTTGACCATCTAGGTATTTTACAAAATGTGGCCAATTTGCACAACCAGCATATTGTATATTCTATTATGTTCGCCGGGTATTCAATGTGAAATTCAGAATGAAAAGAGTTGTAATATACACAAGTATTACACTTTTGAACTCTTGCCTGACTGAACTGAGTGTTTGATCTGTACGCTTCATTGTGCGTTGTATTGGTGTGGAGTTGCAGTGTTTAGTTGTAGCGTTGTGGAGGTAATGTTCTATTTCCAATGCACTCTTCGAAAAATTGGATAAGTGATAATGTGTTGACCTTTATACACACATATATTGCACTATTTCAACTTGAACTTTTTACTGCCTGATCAATATTTTTATTACCTGCATGATTGACGTTTGAAATCTTTTGGGGTAGTTACGGGAAAGTAAGTTTGTGTATTTGTCCAAATTATTTAATCAAAACGCAAAAATGCCAATATGTAACGTACAATGCTTGTGTGACCGGAGGTTGAAATGTGTGATTACACTGACAACTGATACATATGGTATGTGTTTCAATAATGTTGAAAATTCACCAAACATGTAAATATCTTACATATATGGCATTAGTAATACATTTTATTAAAGCAAAAGGAAGACGCGTTTTGGAAAATAGTAATACATATATAATTTGTGTAGGCAACAACCGGTATTACATCGGGAAAATTGTTTCAGAGTTTGAATCATTTATGTTATAAAGTCATAATTCGACGTCTATTGTAATTTAAATCAGTAGTATCCATGACTGTTCGTGGTT